GCGCGAAGTTGATGTATTTCCTCAGCGACCAGCACAGATCAGCTCCAGGCATGACGAAGCAGATATCGTCATCTTTTGGAAGGCCAAACAAAGTAGTTTCGCTTTCACAACGAAGCACACAGCGTCTTCACGACATGACTCTTAACTTTTATAAAGAATATCTCTTTGGATTTGAGACTTTAGTCTTTGCAACTTTACAGATCTTCTTTATCCACCAAGAGCTTGTAACACTTCAAAGTGAAAAGAAAAATTGAATCATATGACCCCTTTAATATCAAGTTTTCTTGGGGTTTTGCCATTAGACAACCCTAATCTTGCCATTTTTACCTTCAAACTGAATTTTAATGTTATTTTAAAATTTTTAATATTACAAATTAATATAAACATTATACATTTTAAATAAATATTATTAAAAAAAAGATCCAGACATAAATAAGTCACGTTAAGGCTCATGTATGAAAGGACAACAGCTAAGCAACATGTCAACAGAGCTGCTTGACCGCGTCTCCTAAAGTAAATCATTTATTCAGCAGAATTCGTTTTTTCACAGCTCACAAACTGCCAGAGAGTGTTTCTCACCCTGCATCTGCACCAGGAACTCCGTCTTGATCCTCCGAGCGGCTTCGCTCTCATTCTCATTTCTGGATCCACAGAGAGAATCCACCTCATCTATGAAGATGATGGAGGGCTTGTGCTGGCGAGCCAGATCGAACAGATTCTTCACCAGTCTGTAACATGAATCAAAATAAATCATTCAGTGAGGCCTGCACCTCATGCAGACAGTCAGCAAAGAGAGCAAAGAGAGCAAAGACTGAAACGTACTTTTCACTCTCGCCGAGCCACTTAGACATGAGGTCCGAGGAAGACACGGAGAAGAAGGTGGAGTTATTGGCCTCGGTGGCCACAGCTTTGGCCAGATAGGACTTTCCTGTGCCGGGGGGCCCGAAGAGAAGAATGCCCCTCCATGGAGTGCGCTTGCCTGCATCACAGTGCATTCACAGACTGTAGTCTTTGGAAATTTAAATATAGGATCTTGATTAATTAAAATAAAGGAGCTTAAAAATGGGGACATCAAGGGCAATATTTTTACTAGTGCTGTGTTTGATACATCGATACGACGATGTATCGTCACAGAGATTTGATACAGATACAGCTGGCCCTGTATCGATATTGTGGCACGTGTGCAGCAGTGGACCGTGCTTAATTTGAATAAAATAACAACGTTTAAATGGAGTAGAAAGGTACCAGGTTTCTAAAATATTATGAATAGAGCATAATATATAGGCTACAACAAGGTTTCATCTGGCCGCAGAGGGGAACACAACTGGGTTGCCTGATATAAAGAGACGTAATCCCCGAAACAGAGCTTCACACTTGAGCAATACGGAAATATCTGCCAAATGTTCTACTTATCTTTGTCAACCTGGCAACCCTGTGCACGCGCGCTCTCTCTCCACTGTGGATAAACGCGCTTGCTTTCTGAAAACACCGGTAAGCTTGCGATCTCCACTTCAATATTCTATTCCCAGAAAAGTGTAATTCATCAAGTTTTCATTTTTCAGAGAGAGAGAGGCTGTGTACGTATGAATTACCACCGTTTTGCCGCGTTTCTCTATTAACAGTGAAGCTGTGGCATTAATTCCTTTAGAAACAATGATGTTACCAGCTCCTTGTTGAGAAAGATAATGACGCACAGCTTGATCTGTGTGAGTGACTGAGCGCGTGTGTGCGTTAGATACAGTGAAGACAGCGCATTAGTTTAGAACTCTTCTAATTTTTATTTTTATTTTTTAAATGTAGAGAGTGCTGCTTTGTGCAATGATAATCTACCAGCAATGTTAAGATTATTTTTTAATATATTAGAATGAGCACATTACAATATAAATTTATTAGAACGAGTACATTATTATTTATGCGAGGAACGAAGGAGAAGAGTACAACAATCGAGAGATTTTAATGAATGCAAGGGAACACAGAAAACACACGTAGCACTCGGACGAACAATACCGGACAAGGAACTCAGAACAGGAAACACTTTAAATACACAACATAATCAGAGGAAGACGAGACACACCTGGAATCAAATGAGAAACAATCAGGGAGCAGGAACAGGAAGAAAACCAAATAAGGACAAGGAAGGCACATTGGGAGCAAAACACAGATGAAACAAGGAACAAAGTCTGACATAAGGGGGGGTGGGCGCTCTGGAGGCCTCTAGGAGCAGGGTTCCAGGAGGGAAGGCCTCCAGGGCGGTGCCCGTTCCGGGACCCATGGCAGATCTGGCAATTCGGGGCGCCATGGCGGAGCAGACAGACTAGGAGGCCACGGCGGAGCAGGCAGACTAGGAGGCCACGGCGGAGCAGGCAGACTAGGAGGCCACTGCGGAGCAGACAGTTCAGGAGGCCATTGCAAAGTAGGGAACTCAGGAGGCCACGGCGGATCAGGGGACTCGGGGAGCCATGGCGGAGCAGGCAGTTCAGAAGGCCATGGCGGAGCAGCCTCCGAGGCCGCGGCCCCAGCCCCCGCCCCAGCCTCTATGGCTGGAGCCCTATAACCCTCCCCCAAAAAATACTTGGGGAAGATTATGACACTGAAGCGAACACTCGGGCACGCTCTCGGGCGAAGAAGAGGGCCCTGAGCCAGTCATTTCTCCTCTTCTAAATTACGGGTGAACTGGGCGGCCGGCGGGCTTGTCGTTGCGGTGGCTGGCGGGCTTGGGTCAACAGCGGCCGGCGGGTTTGAGAGAGCCGCAGCCGGTGGGCTTGACTTCGTAGCGGCCGGCGGGCTTGACAACGGCGCGGCGAAGCGTGCGGCGGTTTCCATGCCGCGGGGAAAAACAGGAAAACAAAACACTTTCAAAACCCAAAAACAAACACGGGGAGAAGGGGCGCCGCTTACTGTCTCTGGTCCGGTATTCTGTCACGGTTGCACTACTGTGAGGAGTGCGGAGCGAGGAATGAAGGAGACAAGGAGTATATCAATCGAGAGATTTTAATGAATGCAAGGGAACACGGAAAACACACGTAACACTCGGACGAACAATACAAGGAACTCAAAACAGGAAACACTTTAAATACACAACTTAATCAGGGGACGACAAGAAATCCGTGTATCATTCGATCATTCGTTTTTTTATTTAATATTGAAAGTAGAAAAATGAGAAAACGGCTCCTTTTTC